GAGAAATATCTCCGTGATGTCTCGTGAAAGCTCGAGAGGGAACCGATCATCTCTTCTGCTTTACAAGTTTATAGCACGAAGTACACATAAATGAACAACAGAAGGTATGTTGAAAGATTACTGAATGTGTCATATATCATGTAATACTCGGTCAGTATTTCAATCGAGGAAGGATCGATAAAATATCTTGTAAACAATGTCACGTACCTTACCTCAGAAAACCCATTCGATGTCAACAGCGCGATAGCTAGCTAGACAAATTAAGCTCTAGAGAGGAACATTTTCCTACATGTAAGCACTATACTATATATTCATTATATTTTTTACTTTTTCCTAAATATTTAATGTATGTTTGAATAAATACGACATGTTTTATTTTGATATTTTTTAAAAACTAAAATTAGAGTAGATGTATAATACATAATTAAAAAGGTATAAGTTATTAAATTGCCTTATGTGCAGTTTGAATGTGTGTACACAAATCACTTGTTAATTTTAACCTTTAATATTACAGTAATGAGTTATAGTAACTGACAGCTCAGTACACTTCCATAATGTACGTAAAGTGCCCTATTTTCACACTAACTTTTAACATACTATCTCTGTATTAAAAAAATGTGTTTAGTTACCACTTGTAGTACACTTGAGTGTACTAGTGTATTGCCTTGTCCAAATACCCACACTTGCGGTCTTTGCACTTGACTACTTCTATGACATATTTCCTGTATTTGGCCCAAGTGTTCAAGTGAGCATGAAGACCACAAGTGCGTGTCGAACTTTTCATTACCTGATGGGACACACTTGTAGTGTTGTAAAAATGCAAGTGTTTACATAGCTTTATTTTCATTTTAAATACTTTGCATTTTAAAACCAACTTCTAAATGTCTGTACAGTAGTCCCTATAACACGACCATTTTAATTTGTGGTGCTTCTAATTAAGTGATAAAAAGCAGTTGCAAATGTTGTACAAAATAAATATCACCACTACTCATCTTTGCACCAATAAAACGTAAAAACACTGTTTTTCTACCAAATTAAATGCAATATCTAATTATTATATTAATATTTAACTTGCATTGGAAAGGTTTCCGTGACCTCTCGGCAAAAAGTCTCACGATTTATTTCCAGAACATGATGCATGATGGGATACACTAAGCCTCGAATAGCGCTCCAATAGCGCTCCGGAGATTACTTTTTTCAAGTAACTAGTAAAGTAACGCATTACTTTTTAATTGACAAGAGAATATCTGAGTTACTTTTTCAAATAGGTGACGCAAGTTACTTTTTTTCCCAATGTATTGATTGACAGCTCTGGTGTCACCATGTTGAGAGAAATCAGAACGTAAATGTACTTTCCCTTCAGCCTGAGGCTTATTCATTTCACTTTTGGAGTGAAAAGGCTTTTATATTTGCCAAAAAAAACTTTTTATTTTAAAAACAAACAAGCAAGCCCTGTCCCGATTTAAAAAGTAACGCAAAAGTAACGTAACGCATTACTTTCCATAAAAAGTAACTAAGTAATGTAATTAGTTACTTTTTTATGGAGTAACGCAATATTGTAATGCATTACTTTTAAAAGTAACTTTCCCCAACACTGGTTAAGGGCACTGCGCTCTGGCGTTTTTAAGACCTGGGACAGTCTTGCGCACTTACTTTCTGTCGCGCGCACACGCTCTCAACTGGTCAAGACCGCAAGTGTGGGTATTTGGACAAGGGGTATGAAAGATGGGTTCAAGTGTACTACAAGTGGTAACTAAATACATTTTTAAATACAGAGAGAGAATGTTAAAAGTGTATTTTAGTTTATATTCATGGTGCCCCAAAATAGCACAGTTGAGTACACTTAGCTGATCTTAAGAAGTACTAAAGAATAATTTTTAGTATATCAAGTACAAAATTAGTGCGCAGTATGGAACTGTACTTTTTTTAACCTGGGAGGGTTCCATGAATCCTTTACCGCATTAATTGCGGTATATTCTTCCCTTGGGAAAAACTGACATGTACTGCATCTGATATATATCTAAAAGAATAAATATCAAATCGAAATTCACTTAAATCGCAAGCTTGTGAATCGAATTAAATTGTGAGAGATATGTCAATACCCAGCACCTAATTACAACCAAAATGTGAGCTCAAACAAAGTTGTCAGAAGACTTCAAATAAAGCAATATAGTGGATGACTTTTATAGTGAAAGCAAGTCAAACAAGTTGGGAATGACTTTAATAAACCTCACCTGTATAAGATCCACCATTGTCTTTGATGAAATCCTCCACAATCAGCGGCAGGTTGGCAAATTCAGGAGAACGTACCAGCTCAAACACAGAGGGCTGTCAAAAACATCACATTACAGTAGCTTTTCCATCATAAATCCATGGTTTGTTGATTCATATTACATTATCACTCACCCCAGTCATGCTGTAGCCACTAAATATCCATTTCTGTTCCTCTGTAGCGCAGCAGAGAGCAGCTACACCCTGTCCCACAGCACACACGGGCTCTACAATCACACAGACATGAATCGAACAAACCTATCTCAGTTTATAGAGACAGAGCGACACGCGTCATAATCTGAAAACAACGCCCACTGGGGGGGAAAACAATCCAACCCTCTCCATTGACTTTGTATTGCACAAAGCTGCCTCCTTGTCATTTCTGACCTATAACAAAAAACAGAACCATGTCTAAAAGTTGCTATGTGACAAGGTGTACAGCAAACAAGCTAAAAAACTCAGAACTGTGTTTTTATAAGCTGTCGACCCCAAAAACAAGCGTTTAAGGACACAAAAGTAGAGCGCAATGTTTTCTCATAACTCTGAGAACTACGCCCACTGGAGGGAAACGTAATCGGCGACAGGAACCATTCAGTTGGATCATTTCTCAAACAAAAGGAAGGTCAAGAAAAGGGGCACTGACATAGACCAATAAAATTTAGTTTCTCAATATATCTCCTCCACTCAGGTTCACAGAGGGTGGTGAAATAATTCTTTGATATGATTAAAAATCATGGATTTCTGGATTTCTCCATCCAGCTAGGTTCTTCTACAATTACTCCATCAACTTCAGTCAGAAATCTTGGTGTAACCTTTGATGACCAGCTGACCTTCAAAGACCACATTGCAAAGACCACTCGATCTTGCAGGTTTGCATTGCACAACATCAGAAAGATCAGGCCCTTTCTAACGGAGCATGCTGCACAACTTCTTGTCCAGGCCCTTGTCATTTCTAGGCTGACTACTGCAATGCTCTTCTGGCTGGACTTCCATCAAGCACAATCACGCCTCGTGGTACCATCACAGAGAGGCTCAAAATCACTTTCCAGAACATTCTCGTTCACCATTCCTGGCTGGTGGAACGATCTTCCCACCCCTATCCGGAATGCTGAATCCCTGACAATTTTCAAGCGACAGCTGAAAACTCATCTCTTTCGAAGCTATCTGACTACATCATCATAAAAAAAACAAAAACATTCTCTCTCTTTATTTATTCCTTCTCTTTCTAGCTTGTACTTATTTGAACAATGTGTAAAAACTTGGTATTACAAGCACTTCCTGTATCTGTTTGCCTCTTTAAGAAGAATCGCTTTATGTATTCCCCAATTGTAAGTCGCTCTACTTTTGTGTATTGAAAGGGTTAGTTCGCCCAAAAATTTCTACTGAACGTAAAAAACGCTGATAACGTTCTGGGGTACTCTCCAAAATGGCGGAAGACGGTAACTCTGGGAGAAGAATTGTTGAAAAAACATTTATTATTATTTTCATTGCGCACAAAAAGTGTTCTTGTAGCTTTGTAAAACTACGGTTTGAACCACTGATGTCAAATGGACAATTTTACAGATGTCCTTACTATGTTTCCGGACCTGAATGGAGGATCAGGACTCAAGATAGCAGAGAGATGTCAGACCATCGATAGACTCCAGCTTGGCCGGGTTGGCGTAGGGTTTGACGCTGAACTCTTGCACCCAGCGGGCTGTGCTGTCATCCACACCGGCAAAGTCGATGGGCTTCCCCTGTGAGACAAAAAAAAAAGAGAGACAGATGTGATGCATGCAGCCCATTGCGTGTCGTATATGGATGAATAAACACTGATTTGTAGATGCTGCAGTGTGTGTTTCCTCACGCCAGGTGTCGCTGTCTGCAGGTTAAACACTGAACTGCACAAATGAAAACACTGATGGAAAGATCGTGCTGAAACTCCTGCAGGAAAACAGAACCCAGTTTAATGCGTTACATTCACAAGAAACAGAAAACACTAACAAAAGAGTATCATTGTTCAAAGTTTCATTTAAAAATAGATTAAAGTGCAATGTTATTACCATCTGATCATCCATTTGGATCCTGGAACTTTTTAAGAATTTTATTTTTATTTTGAATAAATACAGTTCAAAAGACTAATGAGACCTTTCACGAACCCCCCCCCCCAAGAAAAAAAAAAACAAACAAGACAAATATAAAAGCTGCATTGAAAATTTATTAACACTAAATTAATTTGAATATATTATGAACTTTAGATTAAAATGTATTAGATAAAATGTATACATTGCCTATATTTTAAAAAAGTTTTTAAAACAATGTTACATAATTAACTTAATTAGGCATAATACATATCCATTTTCAAGACCACAAACATTAAATAACATTTCAAAACTTATAAAGTTCTTATTTCATAGAATATATTTTTTCGAAAAAAGAAAATATAATATACAATTAGAAAATGTTCATATTTATATATATATATATATATATAGCAATGTGGTTTTGTAAAATCTTCATTTTGTTCGATTTTTGGTGAATTATATTAAATAAAAAATAAGAAATATTAACAAACAGGTTGGGTCAGTTTGAGTCAAAAACATCATCACAATTATTCATTACACTAATAATATATGGAACCTACCACAATTTAGAAACAATTCACTGATAATAAAATTGGGACTTCAATTATATTTTGACCACCCACTCAAATAGAAACTGTCCATGTTCCATTTCAGAAATCCATTACCTTCCTGTAAATATTCATGTGCATTTGAGTCTTACCTGCAGATGCAGCACTGGCCACAATCAGACATGTAGGTTTAGATGTCATTATAGATGCTTTAGATCACCAAATTGACTGGTTTTCGATGTTTATAGAGACTGAGCATTAACAAACGATAATGACAATACTAACGTCAACAATAACCTACTAAATACACGTACTGAAATGTAATAAATTAATTGAATTTACGATAAAACAGAACTGAGATCATTTGATCAGCTGCTTGTTTTCATGGTCCGTCGGTTGTAAAGTTCCGGGTAAAACCGCAAGTTCCGCTGTTTAAGTAGTTCCTATATGCACATTTTATATCATAATTATTTTACTAACGACCTTTTTTCAGGAAATCTACAGACACAGCGAATACTTTGAATGTTACTTCCACCTGATGAAAATAGATTAATGTTAATGTTTTATTATTAGAACAAATGTTACACTCAAAGCATGTAAAAATTCATGTCTGTCATTTTATGATTAAAGATTACAACCCATATTAATGTTGAAAGGGTGCTAATAATTATCTAATGTTTAGTAATAAATGCCAGACAAATTCTGTATGTCTTTGAAGGCATTTGTGAGAGTATAACTGACAGAAATAAAATAAAACAATTTCACTGATTTATTTGTACTGAAAAAAGTTTGAACACACTGCTTCTAAAAACTTTTGCTTAAAACAAAACAATTTAAGTTCCATTTCCAGAACGACTGTCCTGCAGCCAAGACATATTGAGCGGTCATCCTGCGTTATTGTGACACATTCATGAAACCAAACAGTAACAGACAGTAATGCAGACAGCAGGAAGGCTTTTTTGGTGTTGGTGTGAATAAGTATCTTCTTTCTCAGTATATTTCTTCTTTCAAACTTTGATACAAGCAGCAGGTAAAAATCATCCCCACAATCTGGAACAGACAGAGAAGACCGAAGGTTAGAACCTATGAAATGGCAACAAATACAAATAGGAGTGAATATATTTGCTGGAGTTATATCAGAGTTGCTCACCTGAATGAATGCAATCCCAAGACCCACTGAGCCCAAAATAATCAGATGCTGAAGTATAAACTCCTCTAGTTTGGATATGCAGCCTCCCTGAAAAAGAAAAAATCTTAACAATGTCTCAAAATGTTCAGATTTCCAAACATACCAAAGTATGCAATTAAAAGATCTCAAAATGAATGCAAACATTTCTCATCAAATTCTTCCAAAGCCAAATTATCTGAGATATTTGCCTTGAAACACAAAGGAGAAAGATCTGAGACAAAGTTGTTACTATAATAAGTGCATAAGCTATAAAAGTGCAATGCAATTGTGCGTTCAGTCATCTGAACATACCTCCACTTTGTAGATGTTGGATGGGTGGTCTCTGACTCCACAGCCGTTAGTAATGTAATGCATTAGATTACACAGTTTAGGTAATATAATCTGACTACTCTTTGATTACTTTTAGATTACTTGTGACCTAACTCGTTTATCACATTGATTTAAATAGGATAATATTTGTACCATATTGATATAAAAATACAAAAATATATTCCATTCGCTGTTACTAACAACATGAAGTGCATTAAACATTACATTATGTCAAGGTTTCTTAATCTGGGGTTCGTAAAGGAACTGCGGGGGGTTATAAGTTTAATGAAAAGCGAATAATTAATTAAAACATAAACATTTAAATAATTGTACAATAACAACAATAAAAAATAAACGACTAACTTAACTAACTACTAAAAAGATGAAATATTTGATATGTTTACCTGCAAGTCATGTAGCCATTAACCAATGTCAGAGAGCCGTGAACATTCAAATGTGTTATTAACTTATAACCTTAAATTCTCAGGAGGTATTTCGAGTAAATATATTAAAAGAAAGAGGTTTCGCTGACAACAAATTTCGGGAATCCCTGCATTGCACGTAAATAAAAATACAGATAATACAGATTACATGTAATCAGTTACTACCCAGCACTGTAAATAGATAGATAGACAAACATATAGACAGATAGATAGATAGATAGACAAACATAGACAGACAAACAGATAGACAGACAGACAGACAGATAGACAGACAGACAGACAGACAGATAGGGATAGTTCATCCAAAAATGAAAATGCTGTCTTTGTTGACTCACTCTCATGTCGTTCCAAACCCGTAAGACTTTTGTTCATCTTCAGAACACAAATGAAGATATTTTTAATGAGATCTGTGAGATTTCTATCCCTCCATTGACAGTCTATGCAACCCCCACTTTGACGCTTCAAAACACCATAAAGAGATCGTAAAACTAATCCATATGAATTTAGCGGTTTCATATTTCATTACAAATGTGTTCATTTGTGTTCCTAAAATGAACGAAAGACTTGCAGGTTTGAAACGAAATGAGGGTGAGCCAATGACAACAGAATTTTTATTTTTGAAGTAAAAAATTAATATACTAAAATGTATTTGAAATACATTTGTTTCATGTTAAATATACTACAAATACATTCACACATACATTCTTGCTTTAAGAAGCTTCTCTCTGATGTTCATCAGCTGTTGGAAATGTGAACAAATTTTATGCAGCTGATAAAGGTTAAACGCATTATTATTCTTCTCTCAGCCTGTATTTGTTCTGTATTTTCCCTCTGTTTTCTGTGCCCACCACTCTCCTTTCATTCCTCTATTCTGGATTCACTCCCTACTCATTCCTCTATACTCCCTCTCTCTCTCTCTCCGCTGGCCATCATTCCTCAGTTATGACTCAGCTTCTAAGTTTGCCCTCTTAAAGATACACACATCTTTATTTAAATCAGATATGTTGACCGCTTTGAGACAACTAAGAGACACACATATGAGCACCATTAAACTGATTTAGAAAGCACAAAAAAGTCACGTTAGTGTGACCGCATGTTCCCAGAATAATCCCTGGCTTCTGTGTGCAGGAATCCACACGGCTACTGTAATCCAGTGTTTACACTGTCCACTTTGTCCATTACTCATAATATTTCACTCAAAGGTCTGGCAGAGGTTTCTACCTCTATATCTTTTACAGGCTGCTCTGAGAATATTCATCAGAAACATTTACGGGGCCAAAACCAATTTAAGACACTCAGAACACCCTTGCAACCACATAATAATGCTTTGAACACACTTAAAACACACTAGCAACCACATAGCAACACTCAGAAGACTGTAGTAACTGCACAGCTATACTCTGGTAACCACCCATAACATCATGGCAACACTTTAAAAACACTTAGAACACCTTAACAACTGCACAGCTACACCTTTGCAACCACCCATAACACCCTAGCAACCACATGACAACACTTTAAAAAAAAGCTTGGAACACCCTAGCAACCACATTGCAATATTTAAAAAAAAAAACTTAACACCCGAGCAACCACATACCTCTTTAAAACACCCAGACCACCCTTGCAACCACATACCAGACTCTTTAAAACACCCTATCAACCACATTTAAATACTTTAAAAACCATGCAGAACACCCTAGCAACCACATTGCAATACTTTAAAAACACTCACAACACCCAAGCAACCACATACTAGACTCTTTAAAACACCCTGAACACCCTAGCAACCACATACCAGATTCTTTAAAACACCCTAGCAACCACATGACAACACTTTAAAACACTCGGAACACCCTAACAACCATATACCAGACTCTTTAAAACACCCTAGCAACCACATACCAGATTCTTTAAAACACCCTAGCAACTACATGGCAACACTTTAAAATACTCAGAACACCCTAGCAACCATATACCAGACTTTTAAAACACCCAGAACACCTTACCAACCACATTGCAATACTTTAACAACACTCAGAACACCCTAGCAACCATATACCAGACTCTTTAAAACACCCAGAACACCCTAGTAACCATATTGCAATACTTTAAAAACACTCAGAACACCCTAGCAACCAAATACCAGACTTTTTAAAACACTCAGGACACCCTAGCAACCACATTGCAATACTTTAAAACACTCAGAACACCCTAGCAACCAAATACCAGACTCTTTAAAACACTCAGGACACCCTAGCAACCACATTACAATACTTTAAAAATGTAAACACGTCGGACACCTTTGAATTGTGGTTGTGACTGCTGTCTGCTGTCACTTGTAACGTTACCCATAATGCTCTCTTACCACTACAAGAAGACCTCTTTGTTCCCTGATGGTGGCGCAGCAGCCCAGTATCCCGGTGAGCACCACGACGGCCCCCGCACCAATCAGGATGAAGGCCGCGGCCGAGTAGGTGCTGGAGGACAGAAGGCTGATGTAGTCGCTTTTATCCACCAGAGTCCATAGTCCCACTGCCATCACAGCGCCACCTGCCAGCTGGGAGGATGAGGTACAGTCATAAAACTGGCTCTTTCTGAAGCGGAATTTACTAAACTTATTGATGTTGTTAGATTTGATGCCTTACAGTGAATTCGTTCTTCCTTAGAAAGGAAAACTGGATCTTTCTTTTCAAATACATTTAAACAACAATAGCTTAAACCATGCTATGATTAACTAAAACAAAAACTATTCAAAATTGTTTTTGGTAATTGAATTATACAAACACACATATATGCACACACACATGTACACACGCGTGCACACACACACACGCTCTCTCTCTCACACACACACGCGCACACACACACACACACACATATAGGCCTATATTTGATGAAAAAATGATCAAATGAGCTAATGAGTTGAAGTAGGAAATTTACTGATTATGTATATATAAATACACACACATACAGTATATATTCTGAAAATATTTACATATATATACATTTATATATTTATACTATTATATTTTGTATTATATATAAATACACTTAATATATAAACATAACATATTTTTCTTAAATATGTGCATGTGTGTGTATTTATATATACATAATAAATACACACAGTACACACACATATATTATGTAAACAAAAACTTTTATTTTGGATGCGATTAATCGCGATTAATCGTTTGACAGCACTAAATAATATATAAATAATAATAAAATAACACTGCTATTGAGTTGCTTTTCTGCGGTCAAGCTGGTCTGGTTAGGTTATCTGTCAGCTGTTCAGGTTGAGATACCAACTGGCGGACCAGATAAACAGTTGCATAAACTGCTTAGACTAGTCTTAAAAAGTTAGTCATCTAATTTTTTTCTTCAAGACTGGTCATTAACTTTCTAAATTCAGTTACAAAATGGTAGATTGGTCTAATTTTAATCTGAAAAGTAAGACTGATTACCTCTTGGTTAACTGCTAGTTTGGTCAAACTAGTTCTTAAGACTATGCCTTTGTTTATGCAACTGGCCCCAGCTTGGCCTTCGTAGAAGACCACATAAAACTAGCCTAAACTGGTTTATTGTTCATTCAGCTAGTATCGGCTATTTATACCAACTAACTGAACAGGAAACCACTTTAGGCTACATTTAGCTATTTTCTCAACAGACTAACCAAGATCAATCCAAAGTACAAACTCACCCAAAAGAAAAGATTGAAGATGAACAGAAGGTATTTGAGGCATATTGTCCCACAGGTATTGATTTTTTCCTCAGCATCTGCCATCCTGAAATGGTAATAGATTTTACAAACACTTTCAAGATGGCATCCACTTGACAGGTCTGAGGAAAACCATGAATCCAGCTTAACATCCCCCGAGAGGCTGGTCTTTATCTACTACAGGCCGGTTGGACAGAACTTACCCTTCCTTTGCACAGAATTTAAAATGATGTGACCGAACTGATATTTGTGAGGCAAAGTTCAGTGAATTACGGCTGTTGGGTGAAGAACATGTGCAGGTCTTATTTCATCCCAAAATCATATAGTTAGATTTTGGTTTCCCGCAATCTTCATTCCTACTAATGTTTACTGAAGGTGGTTCTCACATGATGTAATATAATGTAAGGAAATATTACCTTGGGTAAAATAACATAGCTTCTGATTTATAAAGTTGAATGCTGCTTAAGAGCATATTTTGAAGAAAAGAGAGAGCAAAAGGTCACACGTCGGCATGTGGAAAATTCAGCTCCTGAGTAAAAGTAATGAGCTTCATCCTTGATTATAATTAAAAACAACAACAAAAAATGACACATTGTGGTAATGAGGAAAAATTTGCTATATATATATATATATATATATAATATTGCAAAAACAATATTGTAGAATAGCCCATTATTTACATTTTAAATAACTTTTGTATTTTAAGTTTTGTTATTGCTGTGATGAAAGCTAATAAATTTGAACCTATTTCAAAATAAAAAGTTAAGTTCAGTTGTTGCCTTAAATTGTTAATTATAATCAACTTGATTGTCATTTATGCTTAAATTTACATTAAACTGACTTAAAAATTTAAGTTGAATTTCATGCCACTCATAAAAAAAGGTTGAATTTGCTCAACTTAAAGGCACAATATGTAAGTTTTTTTTTATTAAAATATCCAAAAACCACTAGAACAGTGTTATATATTTTGCTGACTTGTGTGCCTACATTATCCCAAATGTTTCGAAGAATGTTTAAATCCAGAGAAATAAGCAATTTTAACTAGTGACACGGACCGTGTCCATTGTGTCGCCTGCCAATGACGTCATAACCCCTCGATTTCCGGTTTTGTAGAAGACGCTTTAATATGTTGTGCGGTTTAATAGACCGGTGACGACCGCACAGAGTAGCGTTATAACAGAACTTGTATCTAGTATGATAAAACAGCGCTGCTTTACCCCACACACGCACGACCGGAAGCAGCGGAAGCGGTCGACTGTGGCATAATAAAAGCTCCGCTGCTTTCGAGCCGTGTGTTACACTCGTTCAGCTGCCTCGTTTCGCTTCGACGGCTTTCAGCCTCACCCTGCTTCATTCTACTACGTTAATAAATCATTAGCTCATCTATGAACATGATTTCTGCCTGAGTCCCGTCGGATTGCATCGGCTGTGCGGATGAAGACCACAACTCCCATGATCCCACACTCAGTCACAGCGTCCTCAAACTACGCCTTTGTCTATTTGTTTATTTTGAATATGCGCCCTCCAGCGGCGAAAATGACATATTGTGCCTTTAATTTGATGAGTTAATGTAGAAACATAAGTTGCCATGACTTACTGATCCTATCATGTTTACAGTGAAAAAACATTTCTTATTAAAGCAGTTGTGCTGCTTCATATTTTTGTGGAAACCATGCTACATTTTTTCATTATTCTTTGATGAATAGAATGTTCAAAATAACAGCATTTATGTGAAACAGAAATATTTTATAACATTATAAGTATCTTTACTGTCACTTTTGATTGATCTAATGTATACTTATTGAAAAAAGCAATACTTTCTCTCTCTCTCTCTCTCTCTCAAAAAAAAAAAACTTACTGACCTAAACTTTTGAACAGTAGTGTAAATATTACAAATATTTTCTATACAACAAATACTTCTTTATTTTATTTAATTTGGGGTGAAATAATAGAATAATCTGCACTATACTGACAGTTTGAAGTTATGGAATTCTTACTCTGAGTAAATAAACGTGTGCAGTTTATGTTTTCAGGGGTGGGTGTGGATGCGGGCCTCTGTCCAGGAAACTGTTTTTAGTCAGAATTATGATCTCTAAACTTTTACTACTGTAACCTCACCCAGCCGCCTCCACGACAGATATAACTCCAGCCGCCTGACTAACACCAACACGTCCACAGTGTGCGAAACAGACGCCACCAAGACACTAAGGCTTGTGTTTTTACACCTGTCTGTTTTCGGACATGCTGCTCACAGCAAATAAATAGCAAATAATATTATTTTATTCCGTTAAATAGGCGTATAACCAGTGTTGGGAAGTAATTAGTTACATGTAACAGAACTAATGTAATTACAGAATAAATGTAACTGTAATCAGTTACAGTTACTGAGAAAAAAATGAGTATTTAAATTACAGTTACGCATGAAAATGTTAACAATTACAAAGGGAGCTACATCTGAATTTTTTTCACATGCACCCACATACAGATTTAATTGATTTCTGCTCTAAAATATGAGACACCAATGTTTCAAGAGTTTAAGACACAGAATAAGACACATGCTTATTAAATAACTGTTTTATTTCCTATTTATTTTTTATAGTTTTTCAAAGGCACTGTTAGATGCCAGTGTCTCCTGTCATATAGCTATGCAAAGATTTGATTTCAAAAACAGTATCATAGCTATTAAACTATTTTTTTGTTTGTTTGTTATGATTTTAAATCTGGATTTAACCTCAGAACGACCTCAAAGTAAAAAGAGGTGCTAACGTCTGATTTTGTGGTGGCTGTGCTTTAAAATTGAAATATTATAATCTTAATTCAAGAGATGAAGGTTGCTGAAAGTCTGACAGTAATCAGTGTGAGTGCTGCTGTGAGGTTAGCCCTGCCTGCTTTAAATGTTTCAAAACGATTAACAGCTGAAAACATTAGACATTTAGAAAAGTAATCAAATGTAATCAGTTACATTACTTTAGTAAAGTAATTGAAAAAGTTACACTACTTATATTTTAAATAGGGTAACTTGTAATCTGTAACCTATTAGGTTTCCAAAGTGCCTTCCCATACTGCCGATAACATTTTTAATAGATTTAAAAATATATATATATATTTGCTTCAACCTACAGTATAATATAATATATTATTCTGTAGGTTTAAGGAAATAAACATTTAATTTTTTTTTACTAATAAACTTGTTTTGGGGAACCACATTTGCCTGAATGGAGAGTCTGGTCACAATAGGAATAAATTAATCAGATTTTTCAAAGCATCATGTCTTGTGTTCATTTGAGATCTGTCGCACCTCAGCATCTGAAGAATGCATTACAGATCCTGTTACCTGCAACTCTATCAAACTACAAGACTCTAATTATAAAGCGCATTAGTGTATTACGTTTTAAGTATGAAGACGTTTATGGCGCATCTAATGAAAGTCTTCAAAAAGACAATGACAAAAAATATGAAATAACAGTAGGCTACTTTGGTTAAAAATTGCGGTTGAGGACAAAAGTGTAATGTATTTTTATTCATAAACTCATAAATCACACCATAATACAAACGCTGCCCACTTATGCGAGCGAACGATTTCAAAAGAATACTAAAAGCTCGTGTTTGAAATATCGCACCCACCTGAAGGACGTGGTTGAAGGAATATCCCGCTGTAGGTCGTATTTAAAAAAGAGAAAAGAAAAGATGTTTGAGAGTCCGCTTTTACTCCAGGGGTCTGTGCCCTTCTGTCCGCGTTTGTTGTGGGCACTGCTCTCTTCACGCCATGTAATAACACGAAGCGCCGAGAGTCGGCGCTGTACAACAAACACCTGATATAGTGTTTAAATGGGGGGTACAATGCTGTTTCAGAGTTGTTTACAATGTTAAAGAGTTGGATTCTCATGCTAAGCATGGACAAAGTTTCAAAAAACTATTTGGACGTAGTATTTCTGTGCTAAAAATCGTACTTCCTGGTTCGTACAAGTTTCTGAGTTTTTTATGGAGTGGCTCTTAGTGACGTAACCAAGGGTGGAACTCCTTATATGGGCATTTCTCCCGGAAGCACGTGCCCGCGCACGCATCGACCAGAGAGAGAGTAGCTGTGTCTCATTTAGAAGGCTGCGCCCTCCGAAGGTCGAATCCTCTGTAGGATGCATATATACGAAGTGTCCTCAACCTAGAATTAAACGAGACGGCCTTCATAGGACAGGCGGAAAAGGAAACAGGAAGTATCACGTTGCTATGCCAACACATTTAGAGCATCCTTGCGCTCTCACACTACTTAGCTCTACTAAGCTCATTCTTAAATGAAGGAAAATTATTTCTAAATTTGGATTATTTTTTAAAGTTTTGTTTTGTTCAATGTTTGAGGAGCTGCAGCGTACGTACAGCAGACATCTGTTAGAGAGAAAAAAGGAGGAGGATATTAAAAACAAATTTTATCCGTTTTTACGGAGGCGATTTAAGGTAAGTTGTAAACACCACATCTGCGCTTGTTTGTACACCTGCCGGCGCCGGCATTTTTCAAATTAACAACGGTTGTTCACGGCGACGCAAAGAATTGTGGGTTATCTGTAGCAGCGAAGGATACACCTCATGCATCCTCCGAAATCCTGTGAAAGAAGGTCGCATTCGGAGTGTCCTACTTGTTTTTCTGAAATGAGACAGCCTCGATGACGTATGCAGCCTTCGAATGCGACCTCCAGAGGGTGCAGCCTTCTAAATGAGACACAGCGAGTGAGAAGCGGCAACCTCCCGCTCTCTCTCGTGAAGCCAACACGGAAGTGACTTAAACTGTAATTAGCTCAACTGAGCTAATTTTGCCCTTCATGACAACTGTGAGGGGAGTGAATTTTTTTTATAACTCATCTGTTTGAATTATATTAAGCCTTAAAGTTCTGCATAATTAAGGGCGTGGCCACTTGAGTGACAGGTGGATTGCCGCTGCCGTCACCACCGTCGAGCTAGGTGGGCGTGGTTTCAGCAACCTGCTCCCGCCTCTTTGCCCATTTTCGATTATCCGGGAGTGACGCGCTGCCAAGATGGCTCCGCCCAGCTCCGCCCACTTTGAGCTTCAAAAACGCTCTTTAGAAACCTTCGGGTGACGTCACAGACACTACGTCCATGCTTTTATACAGTCTATGGATTGCGCCCATCAATGTGCTTCATCCGGCGGCAGCGCTGCACGGGACTTGCTCGGGAAGAATGTCTCCAAAGAAGTGTGTTTTTGGTTGTAAGGGAAAGATAACTTTGTTCAGCTTCCTAAAGAACCCAGCATTATGTAAACAGTGGATACAGTTTGTTTTTCCGGGGCAGCAATGGAGTTTGTTGACCAACGTTTTATAAATGAGGCCCAGTTCGACGCTGGATTTGCACATGGTTTGATACTGAAAGACGGAGCGGTCCCAGCTTTAAAAGATCCCGGTCATGATTCAGAACTGCAGACGGTAAGTGAAACGGCATCAAATGTCTGTTTCGTTGGCATTCGGCGCCCAAGTGCTCGTCACTCTTTAGCTCCGCCCACGGCGTGCCTCCAGGAGCGCGGCTTTTTCTGGAGAGAATCGTAAAGCTGTATATTTCTTTTTTATAAATATGATAAAACTAAAGACTGTTTGGAGATATGAAGGATGCAGTACTACTCTATAGGTACTCAAGATTAACATGAGATTGGGTGAAACTGTGTGTTATGCCCCCTTTAAATGCAATATTTACATAGAAAACATTTAAGGTAAACGTTTAATTTTGGGTTCCCAAAAATGGCATTTTTTCAAGTCCACAAATTAATACTAATAATTATGAAAATACTCATGCAGGCATGACTTTTTAACATTAGACTGACGATAAATATATTTGAGTATAAAAAAGATTTAAAAGTGTACCACACATATAGTTTTGTGTAACAGATCGCCAGTTGGAGTGTGTAGTAACGCTAAAATGATCGTAGCACTGTTCCCGATAGTGTTTTATAACTTTTTACCTTGCTGAAAATGGTTATTAATTTAGCTGATGTTCAGAGGTGGACTATCCACTCCGAATCCTTTAGCTTATGAATATTCATAGGTTGTTTCTTAAATTCTTTGAGCGTCAAGTGGCGTAATTAATATTCATGAGTCAAGTCCTCGCTGAATTCTGAAGTAATGCTCCAGTTATTTGCAGCAGCGCCCTCTGTTGGCAGGGATGTCCAGACGGAGCACAGACTCACACTGCTTGTCCTCCTGTGAGGCAAGTAACCTGAGACACAGAGAAAATTCAAATTAAGATTAATTAAAATCTGCATCCTACATTTTTTCTATTTGAATTGCTACTTCAGCAATAAACAAAGACCCTTTTATTTGATCATTTTACTTTATTATATTATATTATATGATATTATTTTATATTATAATGTGTGTGTGTGTGTGTATTTATATAGACATAATAAATATACACAGTACACACACATATTATGTAACAAAAACTTTTATTTTGGATGCGATTAATCATTCGACAGCACTAATACACACACACACACACACACACACACACACACAAGATCTGTGATGTTACCCAAAAAGATATACAGTATATAGACTATTTTTTATTATATTTTTTATAAAACAATATGGAAATATAAATAAATACATATTTATATATAAATTATAAAATAATAATATATATTAACCATATTTAAGAAAAATCAGGAACAGGTATTTAGACAGGAATAAAATAACACAAAGGCAATTCAAGCTGGTTTATATAGCCTAATGTTAAAGGTTCATGCTCGTCCAAAGTGGTCTACCAACTTTAACCAGTTTACAAAGATGCTCAAGCAGGTTGAAACTAAATCAACTAACAATGATCAACCATTTAAACCAATTCGGATTATCTAACCCAAAAGTTGGGTTAGTCCATATTTGACCTAAAGTTGGGTTGAAACAACCCAACATTTTTTAGCGTGTATGTACTCTTTTTGTTAAGAATAGTAACTACATATGTAGCAGAATAGTAGACAAGCTTTGGGACATACTACTTCATCATAACTGTGTCTTTAACGGACACTCTGTTGCTTAGTTACGTGCATTCTGTCACCATTTAAACTGCACCAAAGTCCCTAGTCTTTGACTGCACTGTCAATCATCTTGTCACAGTTAACAAAATCCACATTTCGTTTAATTGAATTAGAGAAAATGAAGAGGCACGTTGATCTGCCAGTCGTGGGCTTATGACGAGAACTCTCTTCGTATGTTTGCATAATGATGCATTTAAAAGTTAATGACCAAATGTATAAAAGTTCCCAATGTTGCTGCAGATGAAATATAACGCGCATAGCATTAAATAAATATTTTTTAATCAGGTTAGACATTGATTATTTATTACTCAAACCCCTTTCTCTGCCTGTCCGTCAATCTCACATATCACTTTTTATGCGTGATTGTAGTTCTAATCGAATCCTCGTCCACCGTGCAATGTTGTTGGCAATATTAGTCGTTAGCATGCGCATCGATCTACACTTTGAATTTTAATCTCAAGTTGTAGACCATCCGGGAATCTTTGGCATGCTCTTTTCAACATACTATGATTTGGGACATACTAATTCTATTTCCAAATACTATTTAGGATGGATAGTATGCGAATTGGGACTAAGCATTTGTTTTTTCGGCTATTTAAGTGCATCATCCGGGTATTTAAAGTGCAATTTTTCTTTTTGGAATTTTTTGTGTGAACACACTACTCACACTAATCAGGTTAGACATTGATTATTTATTACTCAAACCCCTTTCTCTGCCTGTCCGTCAATCTCACATATCACTTTTTATGCGTGATTGTAGTTCTAATCGAATCCTCGTCCACCGTGCAATGTTGTTGGCAATATTAGTCATTAGCATGCGCATCGATCTACACTTTGAATTTTAATCTCAAGTAGTAGACCATCCGGGAATCTTTGGCATGCTCTTTTCAACATACTATGATTTGGGACATACTAATTCTATTTCCAAATACTATTTAGGATGGATAGTATGCGAATTGGGACTAAGCATTTGTTTTTTCGGCTATTTAAGTGCATCATCCGGGTATTTAAAGTGCAATTTTTCTTTTTGGAATTTTTTGTGTGAACACACTACTCACACTATTTGTACTACAAAACGTCATAGAATAATGCATAAGTATGCGATTTGGGACGCACCTATAGAAATACAAATACAGTTCACTTCTGTACTTATGGATGGGAGAAACTGCAACGTGCAATATGGCGGAACATTCCCAACTTCTAAATGAAAGAGCCAATGGCTGATTGGTAAAGTCATTGCGGTGTACTTATGGATGGGAGAAACTGCAACGTGCAATATGGCGGAACAGTCCCAACTTCTAAATGAAAGAGCCAATGGCTGATTGGTAAAGTCATTGCGGCACTGCAGCGGCCGTTAGAAGCTCCGGTTCCCATAGAAACCTGAGGCTAAACCAGCCAATGTGCATGCACAGTCATAAGCGTGCTATGACTACGTATGCGCATTGGCTGGTCTAGCCTGTAAAATAAGCTTTTTAAATGCTATTAGAGCATAAGAAACAACATTCATGGGGCAGCTCATTTCAGATTTTGTTGCTGATTTGAAATATGTAATTTAATTGTGAGTTCAGTGAGCAGTTTTTGAGATTTCAGGATTCCCCCATTGATTTAGATAGGACTTGGTCTTGTATGAGCGCCGGGAGGCGTTGCAAATATGGCCGCCGAGTGAACAGACTTTCCTTGAAAGGGACTTTGGTACGGCCATCCACTGTAATTATGACAGTGAATTCCTCTCTTTAACTTCCGGGGGGCTCCAAAGCCGCGGAAATACACAAAACTACATACAGTTGCTTTTAATAACCTCATCTTGCATTGTAGATTATGTAAATCAGTCTGTTGGTTCTATGAAACCGTTTTTGGGACATCTGACCTCTCCTGCCCTGCGGTGTCCCACAGCTGCAGAGCGACTGGTGTTGAATCAAGCATCACGCTCCTGACCTGAAAATCCATTCCTGTCAATCAATCATCACGTGACATGTCAGCACACAAAAGGAATTAAGTTAAGCAAGAGCATAAAATGTCTAGCGTCTCTCACCCACAGTTGAGGCCAAGTTATTGGGGAAGTGGCCGCTGCAGTAGTGATGGATGAACGAGCTCTTTCCCACAGCGGAGTTCCCCAGAAACACCACCTTAAACACACGCTGCGGGTCATGCAATGCGCTCTGGAGGAGAAAGAAGAAAGAAAGGTTTTCCTGGAAAGCCACATCAAGCAGGTAAATATTTGATTTGCTGTTAAGATCAAGAATTAATGAGCTCAACATTGTTTGTTGTGTTTGGAAGCGACAGAGAATGTCATCTACTGTTATTTGCATCCAAGACACAGCCATACAGAAAGTAATAAGCAGTTATGACATTGTATTTTACAGTAAAAACACAAGTACCATGGTTTTCTCTGACTGGCAGGTAGTTTTGTCTTCTCTCTCTTCAGCTATAGAGAGTCTTTTCGGACTTGAATCTGTTAGCGAGCTGTCTGAATCCTCAGGCTCGTCATTTGGGTTTTCCATCAACTGCCTTTAAAAAGGATACAATTATTTTAATACAAAAAAATGTGTATGAATTATAAAATAATTAAAAACCTTTGAATTGCCTTCTATCATTGCTCAGAAAATCCCGATAAAACTGGTCCAAGTTGGTCTATAGATTGTTAACTAGACTAGTGAACCTGGTTTCAACCTAGTAGACCATCTTGGACCAGCAGTAAACCAGGCTTATTATCGATAAGTAAAGATAAAATTGAAACTAAAACTATATAAAAAATCTGTTGCTTAAAATAAATGTTAACTGAAATAAATGAAAATATAAAAAAATTAAACATATTTTAGTTCCGTTAGTTGCCAAGGCAGCCTTTCTCATTTTCTTTAAGTACTTAAAGAAAAAAAAATAGAAATAAAAATTTTAATAAAACTAGAAATGAAAATTGATAATTGATGTGTCAATATAGACACATATAGACACTTTAAAATAATAAGCATAATAATAAATGACAAAAACACAACAAAATGACTAAACCTTTAAAATTAAAAATTAAAAAATAAATAAAATTTAAAAATAAAATAGTTATATCAATGATACTAAAATAACATTGAAAAAAAAAATGTGTGTGAGCTGTTTTCATTAGCAGGAATGGAAAATTAGAAACATATGAAGAGTTAATTTGCAAAAACAGATATCATGTTTTATTTCCTGCATTCCAATTAATATTAATCAAACTGCAGTTGGGTTGTTTTGATTAAATAAATAATAATAACTAAGAAAATACAGCTAACTAACACAATAAAAACATGATAACACAATAAAAAACATGATTTAAGAAAATTAATTAACAGAGTTATCTGTTGCAAATAAACTCTTCATATATTTTTTAAGATGGTAAATAACATTTTGCAGCATTGGGAAAGACAAATTATCTGGAAAATAATCCCAGTATTCACTAAAGGTTGTGACTCGGAATTGTAATGAATGTGTATGATTGCAACTGCAATTATGGCAAGAGCTATACCATGTTTCAAAATGCACATCTTATATATGTATGTCCATATATGTCTTTTAATAGAGTGTCATGTGCATTAATATAGCATGTATAAGGTTTAGTTAGATACCCACCTTTTTGCTGATTTCCTTGGTGGAAAATAGTTCCCCAGTATGGATTCCTTCCTCTGCAAAGGGTTCTTCATCTGAGCTGTCTGAGGAACAGTTGATGAAATATGAAAGAAATTTTAGCTTCATCTTTATTGCAAATTGTTTTAAATGAAAATTGAGAAAATGTAGTGTCTAGTTTTTCTTGTAGAAATTATGCATATTGGTCTCCCAGAGCAGTAACTGATGCAAAACTGATGGGTTCAGGTGATGCACTTAAATAAGTGTTTGCAATGCTTTTATATATCTAAAATTATTTTTTATGTAAAATGTGTGACATAGGTTGACTGTGGTTTTGAAACGACAGCACTTGTGTATGCGCATGCAAGTAAATCACCCAAAATGATGACATGAATTCAAGATTAATAAACATTTTTATTGTTTACTGTCTGACAACATATCCATTTGTTCAACTTTAAATCTTAACATAATCTACATTTTGTTCATTTAGCGTCAATCAGAGACCAAACACATGAACTGTCATTGGACAGAACTGATCATTTCAAAAGAAACTACCAAACAAAACTGTACTAAATTACAAGTACAAAAAATACAAAATAAGATCAGCGTTAATGAGGTAAAGTGCCATATATTTCAAGGCACTGATATGTAATTGGTAAATTAAATTACCAATTTCTTTGTAAAAAAGAAAGAAAGAGGGGAATTAAGCGATTAAGGCTCTTCTTAAACAGAAATAACCAATATCTTGGAATCACGCTTGTTTCTGTAACAGACCGAACAAGGAACAATCTTTCTTCTAACGTGACTCATTTCATTGGCGCACATTGGCTAAATTCCATATTCACAGTTTCAAAAGTTCCACACAAGGTCTTCATTGAGTTTCCTTCAAGTCCCTTGGAGGCTGACGAATGGAACAAGGCTCTCCCGAGAATAAACTAACCAGAGCTGCACTTGGAAAATGTGAATATTCCAGAAGAGTGCATAGCCGGTATCATCCACAACGTTTCGAATTCCCGAGGGAACATGGGCTCACAGAAGCCATAGGAATACATCCAGATGAATGTATCTATTCCCATTTAGCTGCATTGTGGGTTATGTTACATGGGCAAAAGGCAGGGTTAATATGGGTAAATAGAGCGCACCCACGGAGAGAAGGTGTGAACACAGCGGCATGGTGGGTAAGGAGTGGGAGACATGAAGGGGTATTTTTGACTAACCATCTTCTGTGTCAGATGGGCATCTTTATCATCCCGAAGACGCTTGTTCATGTCTCTACAAAAGAGAAAGTGAGAGAATTCCAGTTACATTTTAAGATAAAGCTCCTCCTCACAGGACTTTTAACAGCCTTGGAATATAGATATCAAATCTAGTTATGAATGAGACGGACCAATCAAACATCTTAAACCTCCAGCTGTTTTGACTGGTCAATTCTTATAGCTTTATATTTCAGATAAGAGCAGTACACACACGCCTACACTTGAACACTCATCATACTACATACTAAATGTGTAACCATTTCAGTTGGGTCGCCCTTACCGGAGAAGATCCAGCTGTCTCATGAGGCTTTCCCGTTCCTTCTGCATGTTTCGGGACACTTTCAGGACTTCTCTGTAGTGAGAAACAGTCGGGCATAATAAAAAATGCACAAGCATATCATCAGGAAATAGCAGCTTATGTTTCTTTGTTCTTTACTTTTCATCATTACATTCCTAAAACGGAAGGTTCTTTTGGTTCCATGAAGAACATTCAGCATTCATGGAGTCTTTCCATTCTACAAAAAGTTATTTATAGTGGAAAAAGGTTATTTGGATTTTTTTTAAATGTTCTTCACACAAAGAAAAAATGGTTCTTTTAAGAACAGTTCACTGAAAGGTTCTTTGAGGAACCAAAATGCTTCATCTATTGCATTCCTGCAAACCCCCCTTTTGGAGTGTAGTAGAAATAGTAATGCAAACAATGTATTTTCACAAGTAAAACTCAAAGCCCACCTCTCTTTGCCCCTCTGCTGTTGTTTGATGGTGTTCTGTAGTTGTTGTAGTTGGCTCAGAGCGTGCTGGAGCTCCTCTCGGCTTTGGTCCAGTTGGTCCTGCAGCCGCTGGTTGATGTTCTGCAGACGGCGGTTCTCCCCACGAGCATCACCCTGATCAGTACTTAGACTGTTGATCCTGCTCTCCAACTACACACACACAGGTGGGGTGAGACAGAGCCTGCTGCTTTAGGTTTAATAAATCAGACGTGTTGATGAGTGAATGATGAGTCTGTACCTCTCTCTGTTTGGTGAGCGTGAACTCAAGTTCTTGTTCTCGCATCCTCAGTTCTTGCAGTAGCTGCTCTTTCTTGTCTCCTTGCCTCATGCTGTCCTTCATCACAGAGCAGACCAACATCATACCATCATCATCATCAAAATATCACATCACCCAAATCACATTGCCATCATCAATATCATCACAATCATAATCACCATGAGCAATGTTATCACTATAATCTATATAATCATAAATCACTATCATAATCCCCATGAATTATATAATTACTAACAGCATATTCACCATGATCACCACTGATATCATAATCACAAGGAACAATATTATCATCACCATCATCGATATCATTGTCACCATTACTACAATCACCATGAACTATATGATTACCATCATCATAATCACCATCATCGCCACTGGTATCAATCACCAAGAACAATCATATTATCCCATCATGATCTCACCAATACCATTATAAATATCACAATTATTATAATAATTACATATAATCATGAACAATATTATCACTATCATAATCACCATGAACAATGTTATCATCATAATCACCATGAATTATATAATTACTAACAGCATATTCACCATGATCACCATTGACATCATTATCACAAGGAACAAAAATATTATTCCCATCAGCGATATCATCACCATCATTATCATAATCACCAGGAACAATATTATCATCACCATCATCAATATCATTGTCACCATTACTATCACATCAGTCACCATGAACTACATGATTACCATCATCAAAATCACTATCGTCAACATTGGTATCATAATCACCAGGAACAATCATATTATCACTATCACCATTATTATTATAATTACATATAATCATGAACAATATTATTACCATAATCTATATCTTCATAAACACCATCATCACTATCATAATCACCATGAACTATATAATTACCAACAGCATATTCACCATGATCACCACTGAGATCATAATCACAAGGAACAATAATATTATCGCATCACAGCAATATCATTATCACCATTACTATCACAATCACCATGAACTATATGGTTATCATCATCATAATCACCATCATCACCATTGGTATCATAATCACCAGGAATGGTCACATTATCAAATCATAATCACCATTATCACCATCATAATAACCATGAACATTATCCCCATCACAGCAATATCACTATCACCATCACTATCATATTTATCATCACCACCATCAATATCACTGTCAACATTACTATCACAATAATCACCATGATGATCACGGTCATCATTATCAACATCACATTACTATCACAATCACCATTAAATATATATTTACCATCATCATAATCATCATCACCATTGGTATCATAATCACCAGGAACAATATTATCATCACCATTATCAACATCATTATCACCATTACTATCACAATAATCCCCATGATGATCACTGTCATCATTATCAACATCAGCATTACTATCACAATCACCATGAACTATGATTACCATCATCACAATCACCATTAACAATATTATCACCATCATCTTTCATTACCATAATCATCATCATCACCATCGTTATAATAACCACAATGAACAATATCATAATTTCCTCTAATACTAAGACTGTTCTCTAATAAAAATACAATTTCCCCCTCTAAAGGTTTGTCAAACTTAAATCCGTGTTTCATAGTGAGCGTGTTTGTGTGCATATTTACCAGAGCTTGTCGTTTCTCTTTCTCTTCTTTTAACTGACTCTCCATGTCTTCATACATGGACCGAACCACTCTGTCATGATCTTCCTCTCTCCTGTAAGACATTTAAACACTCAGCACATTTCATTTATCTCAAGACATGTTTATTTTACAACAGGTAAAAGAATGCAATGAAGGCTGACCTGCGCAGTGCCTGTTCTAAATTGTCTCTCTCTTTGAGTGCATCCTGAAGATGAGACACAGTGTAGGAAAGAACCTCTTCCAAAACACCCAGCAGCTCAGGTTTGTCCCTGTGGAGCTCACACCACAGAGTACACAGCTCCCACTGACTAACACACAGACACGTCTTTAAAACAAAAGCTCATATACACTTTGTGTAAAGTGCTAGTGAAAAAAGCAGGGTTTGGCAGATGTAGCCCATAAACGTTAACCTAAATGCGTACAATAACAGTATGCTGGCTTGTCAAGCCAATATTGATCTAAACTGCAAACAGACAAGCGCAGCTTTCTCGTTATCTTATCTGTTACACAGTGGTGTACATTTACTCACTCTTTGAAGAGTTTATCAGCTCCCAGCTCCATGAGGATGTGTGTGAATCGGATCTCCATCGGCTCTTCTCTCTCTTCTCCAACCATCTCTCCCTCTCTGCTCCTCGCTCTCTCCTCCGGCCCAGAACCAACAAGCTCTCCTAATTTAGTCAGAGAGATTTTAATTTAGGCATATATCATAATGCATACTACACACAGTATACTATAGCCTACTGCATATTACTTTTAAAAATGTGAAATGGTACGAAATATGTAATAAAACATTTCAACACGTGAAATCGCTATGTTGTATGTTTATAAATCTATTAATATCATTTTCAGTAATTGAATCATTGCTGAAATAAAATATAAATATTAGACAAAAAATGTAAATGTAAATTAGAATTAGATTAGAAAATTCAATTAGAAATAAGAATTGTTTTGGTAACTAACTGAAATAAATAAGTTGAACTAAAATTACTGAAACTACAACTGAAATTATAAAATTAAAGCTACACAGAATTATACAAATAAAAATGACAATAAAAATGTATTAAAATTATTGTTTAATTAAAATTAATGACAAAAGCACAATACATTATGAAAACTTTAATGAAAAAATAAACTTAATAAATAAAAATAAAAGTAGTTACTATGAAATTATTAAAAAATTATTTTGAAATAAATACTATAATAGCATATAAATAATACTAAAATAACACTGGTTATTAATTGTATTTTTTATCATGTACATTTTTATACTTTATACACACTTTTTATTTTATTCACACCTTTATGTTTTTATCTTTATAAACACAACTAAACATTTTTACATAAACTTCATACACTTTTATTTTCTCATTTTAATACACACATACACACTAACCTAGGCCCGTGTGGAACTCAAGGGGTGTGAGGTAACCATTTCTGTCTCGGTCTAAACTCTCAAACACTGATTCCAACTGCTCAGGAGACAGAGGAAGCTCTTGCTGAAGCCACTGGTGGATTTAAACACGATATGACACATTAAACACATCCCTAGTATAAAGAAATCATATAAAATAGACTTCCGCCACCACCCCGTCCAGGCTCACCTGCATGTCTCTCTTCGTGATGAATCCTTTCCCCTCTTTATCACACAGCTCAAAGAGCTCTTTAGCTTTGCTCATTCTGTCCTGTCTGTCTGAGTCAGGAGAGGTCGCATCGTTTGACGAGTGTAACCTCGCCGTCCGACTCGGCAAGGGGCTCCGTAGTCTGGAGCGGGGCGACATCTGACCACTGCCTGTCCCCTCCAGCACCACCCCGTCCTTCAACCAGCCAGACATAACTGCAGAAAGAGAGTGGCCGGACAGGATTAAAAATAACCAACTGGTAAGAAATGTCGCTAATGTGGTCAAACCAGGTTAAACAATGATACGAAAACAATCATATCTCATAGTTCTTGCTCTAATTGGTCAAGCAAGACATTTTGTTGGTCGCTTAGTTACTATTTTTGTTCTGTCATGCCCTCATTGGCCCAAAATCCTGCTCCAAATGCCTGCATATTAACCATTGAATATGTTCTAAATGTTGCTTAAAGGGGTCATATTTCAAGTTTTCCTTTCTCTTTGGAGTGTTACAAGCTCTTGGTCCATAAAGAAGATCTGTAAAGTTGCAAAGACTAAAGTCTCAAATCCAAAGAGATATTCTTTATAAAAGTTAAGAGCCTGCCACGCCTACCTAAAACGGCTCGTTCTAACATGCCCATACACAAAATAATGATCTTTCAAATAGCATCATATGACCCCTTTAACCTAGCATATTTATTTTTAGTAAGGATGGAAAGATCGCTTGATGCTAGAAATTTGTTGTTAGAATATTACCTTTGCATTCATTAATATTATTGCACTTCAACTGTGATTTAGTTAAACACTGACTTTATTTAATCGGTCAAAGTCAGCTTCATTAATGGAAAATGCTGAGGGCATCTGAAATATCCTGCTTCTTACATATCCACAAATAATCGTTAACCAGGATGTTAAACAGTCCTTCAAACAGGTGCCATGTTTTCTGACCCGAGACGCTCAATATAACCTGGCTGTAATTCCCCCACACTAATGCCATATCGCAATGACATCTGTTTGTGCTGATATTATGTAGCAGTTGTGATTACATGGATGGTTTTGTGATTTTACAGGGAAGCTACTCCTTCAGTAAATGTCCAGCCTGCTTGAGTGACCTGCTCCACGTCTGCATTAGCACAGAGAAGCTCGGCTGATATGGGCCAATAATGCTGATAGGGAGCCAACCGTTGATATAATGCCAATAAAATGCATTTACAATATCTATTTATCCATTAACATATATATATACATATATATATATATACTGTATACAGTGGGGCAAATAAGTATTTGATACACTGCCGATTTTTCAAGTTTTCCCACTTACAAAGAATGGAGAGATCTGTAATTTTCATCGTAGGTACACCTCAACTGTGAGAGACCGAATCAAAAAAAAAAATCCAGAAAATAACATTGTATGATTTTTTAATAATTAATTTCCATTTTATTGCATGAAATAAGTATTTGATACAATAGAAAAATAGAACTTAATATTTGGTACAGAAACCTTTGTTTACAATTACAGAGGTCAGACGCTTCCTGTAGTTGCCCCACTGTATATATATATATATATATATATATATATACACACTTTATATGTAACTGTAATGTATGTTATACATTACAGTATTTATTTTTACATTTACATACACACTATCAGTCAAAGGTTTTTGAACAGTAAGAGTTTTAATGTTTTTTTAAAGAAGTTTCTTCTGCTCACCAAGCCTGCATTGATTTGATCCAAAATAGAGCAAAAGCAGTAAAATTGTGAAATATTTTTACTATTTAAAATAACTGCTTTCTATTTGAATATATTTTAAAATGTAATATATTCCTGTAATTTCAAAGCTGAATTTTTAGCATCATTACTCCAGTCACATGATTCTAATATTCTGATTTGCTGCTAAAAAAACATTATTATTATGTTGAAAACAGCCGAGTAGGTTTTTTTATCAGGTTTCTTTGATGAATAGAAAGCTCAGAAGAACAGCATTTACCTGAAACAGAAATCTTTTGTAACATCATAAACGTCTTTATCATCAACGTCTTTTGATCAATTTAATGCTAAATAAAAGTATTAATTTCTATACGCCCCCCCCCCCTTTGAAAAGTATAGTGTATGTTACAAAAGATAAATGCAGATTTTTTTCCAGATAAATGCTGAGCTTTGGCTCTTTTTATTCTGTTTTAAATATTGATAATAATAATAATAATTATAATAAATGTTTCTTGAGCAGTAAATCAGCATATCAGGATGATTTCTGAAGGATCATGTGACACTGAAGACTGGAGTAATGATCACAGGAATAAATTACATTTTAAAATATAGTCCAATAGAAAGCAGTTATTTTAAATAGTAAAAATATTTCACAATATTACTGCTTTTGGTGTACTTTGGATCAAATAAATGCAGGCTTGGTGAGCAGAAGAGAATTCTTTAAAAAACATTAAAAATCTTACTGTTCAAAAACTTTTGACTGGTAGTGTACACACACACACACACACACACACAGACACAGGCACAGGCACAGGCACAGGCACAGGCACAGGCACAGGCACAGGCACAGGCACAGGCACAGGCACAGGCACAGGCACAGGCACAGGCACACACACAGACACAGGCACAGGCACAGGCACAGGCACAGGCACAGGCACAGGCACAGACACAGACACAGACACAGACAGACACACACACAGAGACAGACACAGGCACAGGCAAAGGCACAGACACAGACACAGACACAGACAACCCTACACCAACCCTACCCCTAAACCTACCCCTTACAGGAAACTTTCTGCATTTTTAGATTTTCAAAAAAACTCATTCTGAATGATTTATAAGCCTTTTAAATTACGGGGACAATGAAAATGTCCTCATAAATCACCTTCTCGTTGTAATACCTATGTCATACCCATGCTATTATACAAATTTGTGTCCTCATAAACCACATAAACATGCACACACACACACACACACACACACACACTACAGCATTTATTAATATTTTTAATTGGCAGTTTCATTTTTAACCAGTTAATCCTGTATTATTTATATACTATTATAGTATTTATTAATATTTTAAATTATCATCTTAATTCTATTTTTTTTTATTCTATTGTTAGGTGTTAGCAATTTTATGTGCTTCTGTCATTTTTATTAGATTTTTTTTTTCTGTTTAGCTTTTTAATTTTTATTTCTAGTTTAGTTTTAGTAATTGTTGTATTTCAGTTAGTTTACACAAAGTTTTGTTAATGATTTGTAATAGTTGTAGGTAACAATAACAACACTATACTGTATATAGTTTAATGACAGCAGAAATGCATTAAAATGTTACACAGTCAGTCTGCCTCAATGATGTACTGACCCTAATCTAATCGATTCACACAAATGTGAGGCCCTATAACATGGTTAATTATTTAATCAAATGCAAAAGTCCACAGCTATGTGACAAATTGTTACATAATCAGCAGGCTCATGGGAAACATGGCAGCTTAACTCAACTTAGCTCAAAGCACATGGGAATTTCGCAAGGATAAACGGATGTGGCATTTAGATTTTAAGACATGCCATGAGCAAATACGTCCACCAGCAACTAATGGTCATCTGTCAAATTATAATAACATTTACTCATGTAGAAATCAGGCAACTATCCAAACAAAGCAGTACACACATACACGTCACAATTGCATTTCTCTTCAACGTCTTTGGCTTTCTGGAGAGCTCCAGGATATGAACTGCAAAACAGGATGAAGTCATGTGACAGGACTGTCTCTCTCTCTGTGCGTGTGTGCAAAAACAAAGTAAAATGCAAATAAAGGGTTTAGCTCAGTTTACATAGCATTCAGAGCTCTTACTCATAATCACGAGTTTGTGTCAGCCATGCGGATGAGGGCAGGACGCAGGGGAAATACCTCCATATTAAATGACCACAGGTCATATGAAACATGAAATATTTGCCTAATGAATTAATGGTTTAGGTTGTGGTTGGAACAATAGCTCCGAGTGATTATGAATGATTTGAATCAGTGATATCTGGAAAGCAATATGCTCAGATCATATAAAATTGCAGAGAAGATAAAACAGGTCCCACGGCCCTGCAGAGGACACAATCACAAGGGCCCCAAAAGTTAAATAAAACTTAATGCGATTACTTGAAGGAAGTCTTTGGTTGAACCTTATTACAATACACAGTACATATAGCCACAAAATATTTGGACACTTAAAGCAGCTGTAGGCTATGTTTGTAAGTTGTTTACCTTAAAACATCAAGTAAGTTTCAGAATCATTCTGATGGTGCACTGACTTCTATAAAAGCCGAATGGTTTCTGTTTTTCCCCCACGTTCCTCCCCAAACGTCTATTCAACATGTAATAATAGTTAGCGGCAGTGTTGCGGGTAACGCATTACAAGTAACGCGAGTTACGTAATCAGATTACTTTTTTCAAGTAACTAGTAAAGTAACGCATTACTTTTAAATTTTCAAGAGAATATCTGAGTTACTTTTTATTTTTTCAATGTATTGATTGACAGCTCTCCTGTCCCCATGTTGAGAGAAATCAGATGTTACTGTAGTTCTAAAATAAATATGAATATGCGTTAATTCATCTCGCTCACAAAAAAAAACACATTCAATATTCCTCAAAATGAATAAAAATAATGCAACTCAGAATATGACGCAAACCTGCAATAATTAAATGTTAAACAACACAAATATCCTTTATGTATTTAATCCCATTCTATTAACCAATGTCTTTGCTTCTGACTTTTGATGATTTAGTTCAATCATACTAATAAGCAAAAATTCCTCTGGACAAACATTTGTGTCTTTTTTTATTGTGTTGAAATGTCTTCTTCTGCATTCTACTGTACGGACGTAAATTGACTTTCCTTCAGCCTGAGGTTTATTCATTTCACTTTTGGTGTGAAAAGGCTTTTATATTTGCCAAAAATATAACTTTTTTATTTTAAAAACAAACAAGCAAGCCCTGTCCAGATTTAAAAAGTAACGCAAAAGTAACGTAACGCATTACTTTCCATAAAAAGTAACTAAGTAACATAATTAGTTACTTTTTATGGAGTAACACAATATTGTAATGCATTACTTTTAAAAGTAACTTTCCCCAACACTGGTTAGCCGGTACGAAATCCCGCGAAAAGGGCGGATTGCTTAACAAATGTGCGTTTTCAGCCGAATTCGCTTTCATGGAAAATCTGTTCACTCGGCTACCATATTTGCTTTTGTTTCTTATGCTCAATTAGCTATTCCATGACAGATAAGTCAATGCGCATGTGCAGTCCTAAGTCATAAATGCTTTTATGGCAACTAGAGCTTCATTTATTTAGAAGACGGGATTTATTCCGCCATATTGCGGTTGCGGTTGCGCATTTTTCCATTCACAAGTACAGTGAGACACTGTCTTCTATCTAACGATTTTGGTACAGTGATCCAATGTAATTATGACAGTAGTATATTTAAGACAGTGAGTTTCATCACTCGCTTAACTGTAGGGGGCTGCAATGTCACAAAAACACATAACACTACATACAGTTGCTTTAAGTGACACTTGAAGTCATTGCATTCTGTATTAGTAATACAAAAGGTTTTGTTTTCATTTTTCAACACATTTGTCAAACGTTCTGCTTAAGAAGCGAGCGTGCATCATAGGCTATTTTGTTATCTAATTTAGCGACATTCTGACAATTTGTTATTTGCAATGACATTCTGCGACCTAAATCATCATTTCAAAAGAAAAAAACAAGTTTAAGGGCCAGCGTTTTGACACGAAACATTCATGTTGATTTTGTGATTCGAGTTCTGTGCGAATACCAAAATATATGGGCATGGCATGTTTACACCTGCAATAAAGCCATAGAGGAATTGCAACACTCAAGGTCAAATAAACTTCCCAAGCTTTGCTACAATTACACACGAAAATCACCTGAGAGATAACAGCCATATGTCAACTTCAGATAAGAAAGCATACGGTTTACACGTGTTTTTTTGCTCTGTGTTAGAGGAAATCATACATACCTATTATAAATAAAGTATTTTATTTACACCCACTTTCAATAAATCTTTTTTTGTTTTTTAAATAAGACTTTCAGGTAAAGTTAAATCATTAATTTGTTACGATGAAACTGCAAACCCATATACACTCAGATATGCTCAAGAACATATGTGCAATGACCCACTTCATCTCAGAATACATTTCCATTTAATACTTCACTATATTGTCTACAGAATGGATTTGGACGCAAAATAGACATAAACTTTATACATGACAGTATGTGGTGGGATCAGTGGTGTTGGTAGGTTTTACCATTTAATACTTATGCATACCACCATCATATACCATAAAAGGTGTCCACAAACATGGTAAAACCATGGTACTCAAGGAGATGAAGGGCATATATAATACAATCTAGACTAAGTATTGTTCTAGAAGAGTTCTATCACTTCAGACCTCATGCATAATTTAAAACATATGTCAGCACTTTTCAATTTGTTAAGACAAACCAAAACTGGCGTTAAATTGAATACATAATCAATTAAAATGTCATTCAAATAAATAAATTAAATACAGAAACAGAACATACCAGACCTGTGCTGCGATGTTGCTCAGGTGTGTATCGTGTCACCTGTGAACTAGGTGCTTTATAAGCTAGTGTTCATCCAGCAGCGGGCACAGAATACCGTAATGCTTATAAGAGTCGTCTCTCAAAATGGTCTTGGCTCCAACTCTGTCCCGCAGATTTGAAAACAGAACAGCGTTTATGAAATAAAAATGTTGTTTACCTTGTATAAAAATGTTTTACAATTCCAAAGAATTAATAACAGTGAAGGTACATCGATAAAGATAATACACATAAATACACAATAAAATAAACAAACAAACGGTTAGGTTATATAACTTTAACTTGACGTTATTTATGTTATATTAGAAACGCATTTCTATTATTATTAAAATCTTTATTATTTTAATATATATTAGGAAAAAACACAATTTTAATATATTTATTCTACACGTTACGGTAACCGGAGCTTCTCGCCGTTGCCATGGGAGACGCGGCAGCGCTCGCGATCAGCTCAAGTCAGAAACTCTCCGTTACAATCACGGGAAATCAGGATGATTGTACTATTCAGACGGACGATTTCACGATTCATGCGGAATTAAGGAAGGCGAAGTCTGGGTTTCGACTTGCGCAGGTTTAAAGGTGTGTAAACGTTTAAAGATGTGTGCGTTTGGTTAGCGGTTAGCCTTTTTAGCTGGTTAAATCTCTTGTTCAGCAGCTGTTTACGACTTTGGTTTGAAGTAGTCTTGCTTTTAGAAGTGTTGAATGCATTGTATATGTTGTTGCACTTAATCTGTCGATATGATTAATTTGCCCCCAAATCAGATACAGAAACATTCAACACGATAGATTTCAGAGTTCACACAGGACCTCAGTGAACTCATCCAGAACTCATCCAGTCATTATACACGCTCTTATTAATGCATTAGGCCCGACGATATTTCATGGTGAGCGTCAGGGGTGTTGAGAGAAGCTGGTTAAGCTCTTTGTTTAGGCTGTATGGAGTTTTGAATCCGACGGAGATTAGAGATGCCCAGAGCGTCTCGTCTCCTCCTGCACTCAGTGAAATTAACCCGTAATCCCCTCAGTGACCTGCTGCTCTTCCTGTGCAGCTCCCTGGAGAACACGCGCCGAAGGAGCTCCGCTTACTCCACAGGTGAGTAGACAAACATTCAGCAGATAGACAGCCAGATAGACAGATAGACATTCAACATGATAGATAGATAGATAGAAAGATAGATACTGTAGATAGATAACCGATACAGGTGCATCTCAATAAATTAGAATGTCGTGGGAAAAGTTCATTTATTTCAGTAATTCAACTCAAATTGTGAAACTCGTGTATTAAATAAATTCAATGCACACAGACTGAAGTAGTTTAAGTCTTTGGTTCTTTTAATTGTGATGATTTTGGCTTGCATTTAACAGAAAACCCACCAAGTCACTATCTCAACAAATTAGAATACTTCATAAGACCAATAAAAAAAACATTTTTAGTGAATTGTTGGCCTTCTGGAAAGTATGTTCATTTACTGTACATGTACTCAATACTTGGTAGGGGCTCCTTTTGCTTTAATTACTGCCTCAATTCGGCGTGGCATGGAGGTGATCAGTTTGTGGCACTGCTGAGGTGGTATGGAAGCCCAGGTTTCTTTGACAGTGGCCTTCAGCTCATCTGCATTTTTTGGTCTCTTGTTTCTAATTTTCCTCTTGACAATACCCCATAGATTCTCTATGAGGTTCAGGTCTGGTGAGTTTGCTGGCCAGTCAAGCACACCAACACCATGGTCATTTAACCAACTTTTGATGCTTTTGACTACTTCAGTCTGTGTGCATTGAATTTATTTAATACACAAGTTTCACAATTTGAGTTGAATTACTGAAATAAATGAACTTTTCCCACGACATTCTAATGTATTGAGATGAACCTGTAGATAGATAGAGAGACATTCAACAGATAGACATTCAATCTATTTTATATTTATATTTTCTATCTAGAACAGACAGTAGAAATAGATAGATAGATATTTAACAGACATTCAACATATATGTGTGTATTTTATCTATCTATTTTTTATCTAGAACATAGACAGTAGAAATAGATAGACATTCAACAGATAGATAGAAAGATAGATATTTAACAGATAGATCATTTAACAGACATTCAACATGTATTTTATCTATCTATTTTATATTTCTATTTTCTATCTAGAACACAGACTGTAGAAATAGATATACATTCGATAGATAGATAGATAGATAGATAGATATTTAAACAGATAGACATTCATCATGATAGCTATATATTTTAGATACAGGGATTCAGCAGATGGATCGACAGACAGACATTCAGCAGATAGACATTTGATACATAGATATCTTGCTAGCTAGAAGAGTTTTTTTCTGATGTGATTTTTCTTCTCCACAATCCATTCAGGAGGAACATCTCAACACGCTCCGATGAGGATTTCAGCTCTTCAGGAACATTAATATTCACCCGAGCATCTGAATGTTTACTCATCACCGTATCCAGCATGGCTGACGCCCGGATTAAACGGCCAGTGGAACAACTCCAGGAATTATCGTCGCTGTGCTTGGGTTTGTCATGGAGTAGCAGGAAGTGAGATGGAATTTCCTCCATATAATCACAGCGAGATGATCTCCACGTCAGACGTCTGCTGAAGAGTTTCATATGGCGGAGGGCTGTGGTGGTGTTTTCTAGTATATTCCGGATCGCTGCAGATATGCTCCAGACCAATAACTACTCGCTGGTGCTGCTGATCCAGCTGGCGCTGCTGACCTTTGACCTGTTCGTCAACTCCTTCAGTGAACTGCTGCGGGCCGCGCCGGTCATACAGCTCGTGCTCTTCATGTGAGTGCATTACAGATTTCACCACAAGTCACATTATTTATAGCATCAGTCTGATTTGCTCAATATTAAAAGCAGAAAATATTTAGAAAATAAGCATATATATACACTATATATATAGACATTTTTTTCTAGAACAAGTGTGCAAAAGTTTAGCAATGGCAATGTCGTGGGTTTGATTCTTAGATGAACTGATAAAATGTAAAACTTGAATGCAATGCAAGATGCTTTGAATCAAATGGAAATGCATGAGTGTTTTCTAACATTATATCGGTTATCTGTCTTGTTTCCGCAGAATCCAGGACATCGGCATCCTGTTTAACGTGCTCATCATTCTTCTCATGATGTTCAACACATACGTGTTCCAGGTGGGGCTGGTGTCGCTGTTACTGGAGCGGTTCCGAGCGCTGCTGATACTGTCTGCACTCTACCTGACTCTCAGCATCTGCTTTCACTGCTGGGTCATGGTGTGTACACACACACGCACACACACACAAACATAGATTATTACTAGATCCTACATGGAATCTGTGAGCACAGAAAGTCATTTGTAAAGTTATATTAATTCCTCGCCATGTTTAAATCCATTCTGCTGCACTTTTGCAGAAATTATAATTGTATAATATTTAAATTAAAAATAATTTTTAAAAATGTTGTTTCATTTTATTTTGAAACCCATTCTGATAAAAAAAAATTCTTAACAGAAAATTATTATAGTATTATATATAATAAAAAATAAATCTCTAAATATATTTCTAAAATACTCTCGTTTTCCTTCATTCTGTTCATTTCATGTTTACATTTTTGTAGAAAATTGTTATTGTATTATTATTGTATATCAATTAAAAATGAAAATAAATAAAATTGTAAAAAATGAATAGCTTCTGTCATTCGTGAAATTCTGTAAATTCCTCACCACGCTTAAATCTGCTCTGCTGTAATTTTGCAGAAAATTATTATTGTATATTATTTAATAAAATTAAAAGTAAAACTAAAATAAACAAAAAAAATAACTTAAAATACTTTCATTTCCCTTTATTCTGTTCTTTCCCATGTTTAAATCCATTCTGCTGAAATTTTGCAAAACATTATTATTGTATATATATAATACAATAATATAAACATTTATACATGTATAAATATGTATTCCTAAAATACTCCTTTTTTCTTATTTTGTTCATTTGCCATGTTTAAAGCCATTCTTCAGAAATTTTGTAGAAAATGATTATTGTATAATATATATATATAAGTAAAAAATAAGATCAATAAAATAGTCAAATTTGTATTTGCATAGTTGTACTTCTAAAATACTTTAATTTCCCTTTATTCTGTTAATTTCCACTGTTTAAATCCATTTTGCTGAAAATAATTTTTGTATATCAATTAAAAATGATTTAGATAAGTGTCCAAAATTGACTTTGCAGAAAATTAACAACGTATAATATGTAAAATAAACATTAAATTAAAAAAGATTTACATTTCATTCAAAATTCTGTCCATATTTGTATTTCTAGAATTCTAATTTTCCCTCATTCTGTGTCAGAACCTGAGGTGGATGGAGTCCAATCGTTTCGTGTGGACGGACGGGCTGCAGGTTCTCTTTGTGTTCCAGAGACTGGGTAAGCCGGCCGTGAGCCGTTAGCCAAACCCCGAATTGGATTTCACGTGAGGGTCACTGTCAATCTCATCAAGAACCTCTCAATCCCTTACTACATGTTTGGAGATACAGGCCTAACCTTTCTCTGTCATGACACTAAAGCTGTTGTAGAGGTGTGATCAAAGCAGAGGCACAATTTTCTTCCAATCAGACAGTTAATCGCTCTTTACTATTTAGCAGTTTTGCCGTTTCCATAGAAGTTAACCTCTGCCTGTTGATGGTTTTGTGTCTCTCCAGCTGCTGTGTTGTATTACTACTTCTACAAACGCACAACCGAGTATCTGGGAGACCCCAGACTTTACGAAGATTCCCCGTGGCTCCGTGATGCATTTGCTAGAGCGCGACAGTGAAACGAGACGCCTGGAAACAAACCCAAAATGGTGCACGGGGGACGTTAACGTTGTGCAATACAACACACAACCAAAGCATTTCAAGAAACAAAACGGATGGACTCATTCAGAGCCCCGCCACCTTAAAACAAACTTCTGAATTGTAGGAAAGAGCCAAGATGGCTTCCATGGGGCACACTGGCGACTGGAGAGATCTCATTTTGTGTTTTTAATGACTGAGAAACGCAACGAGAAGTAAAGCATCATGAAACCCGACGTCTGAATGTCTCAAAACGCATCTTAGTACAATAGTACAAATGATCTTACTGCCCGCACCAGGTGTAAAGCTACAATTATCATAAATTGCTTCTTACATGTTGGTTGCGTAGACATCTTGTTGTGTAATGTAGTACGTACTAAAATGTCTTTTTAAAAATGGTTTTGGATCATTGCTTGAGCAGAGTTTGATCGTACAGTCGAACTACGAGAGATTTCGTTCACTTCGGTTTGCCTTTGAAACGACGAGTGGAATTTGGTCTCAAGGAACTGTGTGAATTTTTTAAAACATTTTGTTTGTAATGTTTTCATAAACATCCTCCAAATGACACACGTTCGGTACATTTTCAGTAAATTGTCGACGGAGCATCAACAAAGTGCCTCGCTGTTCACCCAACACTACACAAAGTGAGTAAACAGCAGAGCGTCAGTGCACTTGTTATGCCGAAATCGAGATCGCATTTTTCTCTCATTTATGTTGTACTAATAATGCTGATGCTTTATTTCTCCTATTTATCGCAAACATAAGTGTTCTTTAAGAAATAGTTCAACCAAAAATGAAAATGTACTCACCGACCCAAGATGTAGACGAGTTTGTATCTTCATCAGAACAGATTTGAGTGTGGAAACGGTCCAAACAACTGATAAAAACAATACACACGACACTTGTGAAGCGAAGAGCTGCGTGTTTGTTTGAAACAAATCTATGATTATGGGTGTTTTAACGTTAAACCGTAGCTTCCAGCTAAAATAGTCCTCAATCCATAATATCGCTTTCTTAAAGGGGTTCTATTATGCTCTTTTACAAAGTCTTGATTTTGTTTTAGGGGTGTACTAGAACAGGCTCTCATACCAGGTTATTGGAAAAACACATTATTTTTCACATATTTTACATTATTACAACACCTCTCTCCCCAGTCTGGCATGAACGGCTCGAATAGTTCCTGTATCAAATGAAGGCCCGCATTCTGAAATATAAAATGTGTTGTGATTGGTTAGCTGGGCCAGTGTGTGTTGTGATTGGCTCACTCAGCGCCTGGTCAGGAAATGTCACGCCCTTGCCATAGCCGCCTGCGAGCTTCAGTGTAAATATTGCATCAATATCAAATCAATTTGAGCATGATTTAAACCCGGATGATTGTAACCACTCTAAGATCATCTGCTTTGGGAAAACTAGCGTGTCTCCGACATAGTGATAACACTCGTTGCCTTCTCTAGTGCAGCTCAACCAGGTCTCGTCCCATTCGTCGATATTTGTGATATCACAAATCCCGGAAAATATGCGTTGTAGTCCAAACAAGTCGTTCGTTGTAGTTTTTGAAAAGTGATTTCTGTTAAATAAAATATCTCCTTTTGAAGTGGACTTTGAGCTTCGTAACTTTGCAGATCTTTTTTTTGCTCAAACAGCAACATTACAGACTAACTAAAGTTGAAAAAGTGAAAAAGCATAATAGGACCTCTTTAAAGTTAAAATGTCTTCTCGTCCGAATCAAGAAAAAACAGTCCTAAACATTTTTAAACAAATATGTCGGTGGATTTTGATGTGAGAGGATAACAGGAGATGGACTTTATCACTGGAGGAAGCGTTATTATGGATTCATATTTTGTCCAGAAGCAACGGTCTAAAGGCCTCAAAGATGCATTTGTTTCTTACAAACAAGCATCTTTTCGCTTCACAAGATGTTAATTGATGGACTGGAGGGGTGTGGATTACTTGTGGATTATTGTGATGTTTTTTATCAGCTGTTTGGACTCTCATTCTGACAGCACCCATTCACTGCAGAGGATCCATTGGTGAGCAAGCCATGAAATGCTACATTTCTCCAAATCTGTTCTGATTAACAATTTTTTGGGTGAACTGTTTCTTTCAATTTTCATTGCACGTCTGTAGCTGCTTTATCTCTGAAACAGACGACGATCTCCTCCACGCTGACATACTGTTCTATTCTGATCAGTCAGATTAAGCTTGGATTGGGGTTTTATGCTCCACAAACAGCCTGCAGGACACAAATAGCATGCTATGTTTTCAAATACCCAGCCAACTCGCTCCTCACATCGTGTGAGGATGAACGTAGGAACATACTGACATTAACAGGAAACCGTACAAAACACCAATTAAAGAAATAGTTCACCCAAAAATGTACATTTTAAAATGCACTCACCCTCAGGTCATTCAAGATGTAGACGGGTTTGTTTCTTCATCAGATTTAGAGAAATGTAGCATTTCATCACTTGCTCAACCACTGGATCCTCTGCAGTGAATGGGTGCCGTCAGAATGAGAGTCCAAACAGCTGATAAAAACATCACAATAATCCACACCACTCCAGTCCATCAGTTAATGTCTTGTGAAGAAAAATGCTGTTTGTAAGAAACAAATTAATTACTAATAATTAATCAGATGAAGCACTGTTGGTGAAGCTCTGCTTGACATAGTGCTGTGGGAAAAATAATGATTGACTGATTGTATAATATTTTTCTATGATTGCTATTAATTATAATAATGGTATTTTAATGATATAATATTCTGTTGTTTAAGATTAAATGGAATGGAATAATTCGAATGAAATATACATTTATTTAGCAGATACTTTTATACAGAGTGACTTACAAAGGACGTTAAAATGAAAATGTCTAAATATAGAGATTTAAATAAGGAAATAATCCTAAAGAATGAAAACATCTCTAACAGTGGACACATCAAATGAAAACCAGGAATCGTTTTGGATTTTTTAACAAATTTTTTATTTGTGAAATATTAACCCACAATCATGCCAGCGCAAACTCCATCCAAAATCCCAGCGCTTCTGAAGTCTCGGAAAAAATGTTCTGATCACCTTGGAATGTTTTCCTGTAGCCTACATGTCATTTCCACAACCTGATGAACACAAATACAACAGATGTCATAAATATATTTCATGGAAAATTCAGGGACTGTAAATACTGTAATTTTAAGGATAATATACACTATTGCCTACTAATGAACAGGTTTGACTACTTTAGTAACTTCCATGAGTACAAATCTTAACGTTTAAGCGTATAATGATATTCTGAATGAATTGTGCTTCTAAATTAAAACAAGAGTTTGGACAGGACCCTTTTCTATTCTAACACGACAATGCCTCTGTGTATAAGGCAAGGTTCAAAAAGAAATGATTGATTGAGTCAGTGTGGAAGAACTTGACAGCTCTGCAGAAACCCAGCTGAACACTTCTGGTGTGACTTTAAATGCAGACCTTGAGCCAAAAACTCTTCACCAAACACATTTTGTCATTAAAATGACGACAGATTTTTAAAATTCATCTTTGTTCAAAAGTTATGACGTGAACTTAACGAGGTTTACCCGAAATTGGTTCAGAGGCTGTATCTCAGCCAAAATTTGGTCAATCGAAACAAAACTTGGTATGCTTCATCAACACCATGATCTGAGGGTCCATGCCAAATTTGGGAAGAGTGCCACCTATGGATCATAAGATATGAAAAATGGCTATTTTTGCTGATCACTTTTGATCAGTTAGTCAGAAAATCATGATGTCTATGGATTCCTTGGGTCATGCCGAATCTGTGGATATCAATTTTGCCAGGATCGGCTGAACCATGTGTCCGCCATTTTGAAATATGTCATAAATTGCAATATATTTTAAACCATTTGATATATCTGCACAAAAATCAGTAGGGATCATCGAAACCAGAGCCGATCCGCCGTATAAGCAAAATACGCAAGCTGCATTTTTGTATTTGGCCAGCGGTTATGAAAACATGAAAGATAGTTTCTTTTAACAGGGTCTATTGATCAGGGTGCGCTGTCGCCCTTTCTACGTAAAAATCAGTCAAATCATGTAATGTGAATGTTGTACTGAGTTGAAAGCGTACCGAGCCGCAGAAGAGACACTGTTTCTCAAGCGCTTTCCGCGTGCGCGATTCGAGACGGAGTGATACACGGATAAATGAGTTTCATTCATTCATTCATTCATCGTTTCATGAACAGTTTTGCATAGGGCCGCCAGAAGTCTAGGATCAGCACTGATCGACACCATGTCCCGGAGGTACCTGAGAAGTTTGAACACCCCGCCGACCTGCTGTTCCGGAGATATACATTTTTTTGCAAAAGTGCTTATAACTTTTGAAAACATAGTCCAAATTTTGTTATTTTTGCATCCTTTCATTCCCTGGTTTATACCAATTCTGACAATATGTCATTTTTCATCAATGTGCCTGTCCGCCATATTGAAGTTAATGAAAAACAGTTTTTCCGCTACTCCTCCTACAATTTTTGCCCAATTTTGTCCACAATCTGATCAGATGATCTTTGGAACGAGCCGCACCGAAATGACTGAACAGATTTTTGATATTCACAACCATTCCCGAGAAATACCTCTCCAAATAGGCCATGCCTGTGCTTGTTGATTTATGCTAGTTAGCTTAGCATGCTAACTGGTTGCCATTCGTTCTAATGCGACTCTTCAACTATCAGGTCAACCGTAAACTACGTTAGTATTAAGTTAGCTTAGCATACTAATGTCTAAAATGCTAAGTCATGCTTTTGTGAGCTCATTCTCACACCTAAACTTCTCTTCTGCAGTCTTGATTGTGTCTCAACTGAGTGGCACACTCTGCTAAGCCACTGGCCCCGAAACATTTCGTGTTGTGGGTTTGAGTCTCGCATGGCGCAACTTTATAAAATTGTGTTATGTTGTGCTGTTTTGATTCGTTTATTATCCAGATCAGCATTATACAAATCTTTATTTCTCCTGGATTAAAAATACACATTTTTATCCATTTTCATTTGAACTTCTGTTCATTCTCACCTATACTTCTGAACCAGCTGTTTTTTTTACGCTCATTCAGTTTCTACTGTTTTTGATCTTCCCGCTCTGCACTGCGCTACAGACCATATCGCTGCTAGCAGCTATATTTTCATTGAAATTGATATATTTAAATAAACTAAAACTGAAATAATAATGAATGAAAATCAAAGACACATTTAGAAATAATAAAAATCACAAAACACAAAATTATTAAATCTTTAACTAAAATTAAATTTAAAAAAAATAATTAATTCAAAATATGAATAAAAACTAATATTTAGAAGCCTGTTTCCACTGTGGAATAAAAAATAAAAAGGTAATTGTGACTTTTTTCTTATATTAAAATAAACTAAAAACCATAAAAAAACTTTTGTTGCTTCAAATAAACTTTAACTGAAATAAAATACAAAAAAACGTATTATATAACGTTTAACTTTATTTACTAAAATAAACAAAAACGGAACACTTTAATTAAAATAAAAATAAAACTGATTCAAAATATTAACCAAACCGGTTGATTTTTTGTTTTTGTTTTTGCAATTTTGAGGGTTTTTCCCTTAGAATTCTGTTTTCATCTAACGATTTCTTCTTGTTTAGTTTCTGACATGGAATAAAAAATAAGAAAAGGTAATTGCAGCACTGTTATCTCACAATTCTGACCATTCCTCTCAGAATTGCGAGTTTATATCTCTCAATTCCGAACCGTTAAGATATAAACGCAGAATTGCGAGAAAAAAGTCTTAAGTTGTGAGATGAAAATGTTGTAATTACCTTTTTTTATCTCATAAAAACTGAAGTGTTATAACACAGCTGAAGAGCGTAAAGACACTCACTTTCAGACATAAATGCCGACCCACAGTAAGAGGAACAGAACGCCGAAGCCCATGAAGAGCGACGCCACCAGAGAAATCAGCAGCTCTTTGTACAGGTCTCGCGTGTACTTCGTGGATGTTACTTCGTATCTGAGAGAGAGTCAAGGATGCAAATACACAAACATCCTTTCAGGCTAAAATTGACAAGCACCTTTCGGATTA